GGATGTTACACTTTTACTTCTTCTCGCGCATGGGGAAGACGATCTTTGGAGACGAGTGTACAGTTTGCCTTGAAGAATATGTGGGCATTTCAAATCACTCACATCCGAGCTGTCGCTAACCATTGGTACGTGTACTATTTTTGCCCTGTGCAGTCCAGTATCGCTACTGCGAGAGCGGCTCTTAGAATCCTGAAAGAGAAAGCAGACCAGGTTTCGGAAAACGCTTTTTTTGCAGCACATTCTCAAAAAACTTACCTGAATAGGCATATCAATATGCACAAACATGTCTTCCCGTTGATGATCCTTTCGCTGTGGTGGTTGTCCAATGGGCAGGATTTTCGACTTCGGACCTTGACGGGGCGCTCTCAAAATAATTTATCAAGAAAGCACAAAAACAGCTTTGAAAAGCGATATTCAAGTAGATCTCACTAACTCTCTCTTATAAATACTTGGGCAACAAATATACTCACAGTTGCATCAGCATCGGTTGTAGCCTGCGTTTTATCGAGTTCGCGGAGTGGCACGTTGTGAGGAAACTGGCTGGTTGCGCCCTGCAACTTGCTAAGCCTATGATAAGGGTGGAGATACAGCTGGAGTCCGCTAACAGGCCCCTTTCAATGCATGGCTACATTAGGCCGTGGAAAAGAGTCATTTTGTGCCTTTTCATTTCAGCGAATTCACTGCATGGTTCTATGCCCAATTGGAAGCCATCGTTCTTAGCCGTGAATCTTTCCATTTTTCATTTCTTTCTATATCGGAAATTAAGAATTATTGGGTCATCCCATTCAAAAATGTGGAGACGTATAGAGGAGTGCCAGGAAAGCAAAGAGGATAAGGGTGGAGATACAGCTGGAGTCCGGCTCCGATAGGGCTGCAGGGTAACACACCGTGTGGAAGCTAGTACCTTTAGCTTCGTATCTGCGAAATTTGGCTGACCTAGCCACAGAATTTTTCGAAAAATTGAGTAATCCGAGTGGTCAAAGTCACTGCCGGATCACGGAATCGGTCAGCGATTCCAGTCCCGTAATCGGGCAGTGATTCCGACTCCGTACACTTCTTCATGCACAAGAAAGCGGGTGGATGAAGTCAAGCGCTGAATATCTGATCACAGAGCCTGGACCCTTGTCAAGCTTCCCCGCGAGACTGACATTCCTGCTGCAATCGTTGCCCGACCTATGTCGAAAAATTGATGACGGTCAAGTGGGTGTGTGTTTGGGCACATCATTTTCTTGTAGAAACACGAACGCAGAACTGTCTCGATGCCTGTAGCAGCGATATCCATCGCCTAAAATGTCATTCGCGACTGTTAGAACGCACAAGGCCTCAGGCAAAATATGTCTTGAACTCCGAGCCACAAGGCACAAGCGTCACTTAATAATCTCCACGTTGTCCCTTCTTGTAACCTCGGCATGATGTCGAATGTTCAATTACTTCTGCCAAACGAGGTTGTTAGATGAAACCTTTTATTGGCCTAACGTTTCGACCTTCTCGTCTTCTTCAGAGGCCTGAAAATGGCTCGAAGCTTTTAATTTGTTACCTACCCGACCAACGCCTTCCCCACTCTAGCGTTTCCGACCTCGTGTCCCGAACGCTTCTCTAACAACCCCGTTCCTTCACCACCGAAGGTCTACTCGCTCCGGATGCTTAGCTCACCGTGTACGAGTTAGCAATAAAGGACGAATAGACAAGTTAGCAGTAAGGACGAACTGAAGACAAACTTGTGTCTCATGTTCTACTAATGCAGACATAATGAGTGAGCTCTATTCGTCTTTACTGGTTGTTGGGTTGTTAGCAGCGTTTCGATAACCGAGGTCGGGAAACGCATGAGTGGGAGGGCGCTCTTAGTCACTTCCAGGCTAACCGAACTCGAAAGCCCACCCTACCCACAACCCCTCGTTTGCCATGATAGTGAAATCACGATTCATCCTCGAAACACTCTACAGGAAAATCACAAGCGTTCATTATCATAAGGCAGATGGGAACCGTCAATTCATCTCCGTGACTCCAGGCGGCTCTAATACAAAGAACGAAAGCCCTCCCTGCCCTGTTCCTCGAAGTATCATATTACCCCACACTACTGCCCCACACAATACAAGAGGCCAAAATTGCTTCTACAAATACCCGAAGTCCGGAGCGAAACGATTATTGTGCAAGTGCGTCGACACAAAACAATAGCTGAGGCCTGAGGCCACCCACATCATTCGCAATCCGCATAGCAGCCTAGATTTCAACTGTTCTGCTAATCGAAGCTATTGTCCAGCGGCAAACGCTGCGACGTTTTGTGATTCGCCGAATTTGGCAGCAAGAGCAATTTACTTGCACGCACTTCCTGCGCTACTCCCTACCCTCCATATCTCACTCCTGGTCACCGGTCAGATCTTGTAGACCTAGATACCCATACACATTGTCCCTCCGAAACGCCGATGGTCCGCTGGCGGACCTCTGATGGACGCTAGTGACCGTTCCCAGACTTGACAGTAGACCTGCGTCGCTAGATCGATACTCTAAATTTCCTATCGTCGTTGGCGGTGACGTTGCGGAGTTGGTGGAAGCTGTGACACCGCTGCTGCAAAGTGTTGGAGCCAGCCTAAGCGCTGGCGCAGTCCTCCGATGCATGGGGAGTTTGAAAAGCTCCGAGAATGACGTTTTGGGGGCCGCGGTGCACAGCCAATTTCTATCCTTGTCTGGAATTTGTTTGGAAGCGCACGATTAACAATTTGACTTATTTGTTGAACTTTCCTTAAATGTTATGTTTTTGTTTTGTTGGCAGAAAAGCTTCGACGGATACCGTATACTTGGGAAACAATAACGTGGGGGCAACTCAGCGACGGGAGGGGGGGGGGGGCATTTTGCACTTTTGCTACTTCACGTGTCGACCCCTCTCCTCTTCTCGAGTTGACAGGTTTACCATGATGGCTTGACGAGCTTGCTCTAGCTTCACAAGAGTTCACAGGTTTCACCAGAGTGAGACTTGTAAACCGGAACTAGTGAAGCAACGAAAGTGCAAAATGCCCCCCCCCCCGTTGCCGAGCTGCGCCCTTTTTGCAATTAATCGATGGAAGATTCATCGTTGAGCGAGGGGCAGAGGATGGCGAGAGAGAACCGTATTTTCCATTCAATTCAACTTCCGTAACTTTTGAGAAACCCCATGTGAACTGTTAGTAGCAAACCAGGCGACACTTACCATTAGAGTCCCAGGCCTGGGTAAAATGACTAGCAGGAGGTGAAGTGCGGTAAGTTGTCAACTAGTGATTTGTGAGTTGAGACTTACCGATGGCGATGGGTGCCGTGGGACGTCTTCTGTCTTCTTCGCCTTCCTTCTGCCCCAAGACTTTGAGTGCTGAGCAGCTTCTTCCAATTTCGCCGCCTTTCTTCTTTCCCAAGACCGTGTTTGCTGGGAAGATTCTCCTGTTGTCGTTGCCTTCGTTCCGCTCGAGGGCGCCGAATACTGCGGACCTTCTTCCGTTTTTGTCGTCTTCCTGCTAGCTGAGGAGCCTGACTGGCGAAGCGCTTCTTCTCTATCCGTCACCATCCTACTGGTTGAGGACGCGGAGTAGGGCGGAGCTTCTTCTCCTTTCGCCGTCCACTTGTTGTCCGGTGGCGGTCGGACATATTGCTCCCTTGAACCTCTACAATTCGTTTAGCATTACATCTATAGACAAGCTGCCATTTCTAGGGGAAAAATCGACTTCAACTCACTCGTTGGAGCCCATTGTTACATCAGTCTTAGGTTCATAAGCCGGTACGTGTGCGGAAGAAGCACGAAGGTGACTGTGGAAAGAAAACATACCCCTAAAAAACAAACTAAGAGGCTAATTGCGTGGCCTCACTTCAAGGCATTTAAGTGGAGAACAGAAATCCCGTATTAATATTGAAACAGTGACACAGATATCCTGGCTAGTCTGTTTTAAAATTTATTAGGTCCCGCTTCCTATAGAAGTGTAAAAGTATTGAACACAAAACCGGGTCTCGCAACTTCAACCCTATCACACTTATCATTACCATCATCCCTCTGGAGAACAAATCCTCAGTACTGCGGCTCAAAGGCCAGATATGACTTAGTTTCCCAGCATTCAGTATCGTAGTATTGATACCTGTGAAGCAGATTCCACCACCAAGGTTTAGCGTGAAAAAGGACCAGTTGCGTCGCGATCTGGGCCAACCCCCTTCGGGCACGAGGAAGTCCAGCGAATGGCGTTTTTTTGGAATTTTGCGTGCGCGCGATAACTATATAGTGTCCTCTCGTTCCGTTCAACACGCGCCCCATATGTCTCTGCCACTTCTTCATTGACAGTTGCCCAGGATCAGCTGTCTCCGGCACGAATAAGCGATTTTCTGATTATTTTTTCCTCCACGTAGCATGTGCTGTTAGTGTTATTAGTGTTGATGTTACAGAGAGTCCGAACTAGAAAAATTTATCCGTTGAGCAGATGCTAAGTGGGAAGAAATCGGAATCGGAAATAGCTCATTCGGGCCGGAAACAGCTGCATTCGTGGTCAATGAAGAAATGGCAGGGACAAACGCAGCGCGTCTTGGCTCAGGAACGATGAGGGCCACTAAATAGTGTCGCGCGATGCCAACTGCTTTAGGAAATCGTAGCCGCCGCTACGCTCTCATCGACGATGCTTCACACGCTATATCGGTCGCCGGTATCACAACTGTACATGCCTTTCATCATAAGTTCTTATTAAGTTCCTGCTGATTGGAGAAGACTAGTTTGGCGCACATACAGGGGTGTGCATCACACGGTAGTCCATACAGAGCACCATGCCTTGGACAGGATTTCTACACCGTGGATGAGTTACTTCGCATCTCTCTTGAGGCTGAGACCTTTCTTTTTCTGAGAGTTTCTTCTTTCTTTTTTCTTTTTTTCTTTTCTTTCTCTTTCTGAGATAAGTGATAAGGATTAACATCCACCATGACTTGGAGGTGCACATAACTTAGTTGCCGAATAAGTACCAGCACTAACAGCATTGAGTATTGAAGTATGTCTGCAGGGAACGTTCCAGGCTACTTGATCTACTAGTTTTCTACATACACATTTGTTATTGGGAGTTATCAAGCCAGGGAGCCCTTTCTTCGGACAGTGCTAGCGTCGTGATTTTTCATTGTCGGTTATATCACGAAAGGAGAACAGTCTCTTGCTTCAGTTAGCTAAGTTATGGAATTATAGATTTACTCAACATCCTGTGGGCTCTGGTCTTTGCGATGTGGGTGGCTGTGCAGCTGCAGTAGTGTTCCGTGTTTTCAAAGCTCAAAGGTGCATGAGAACGAGGCTGGGGATA